AACCCCCAAAAAAAAAAAAAAAAAAAAAAAAAAAATCAGGAAGTACCAGCCAAACAAGACTGCCATAAAGTTATGACTTTGAAACAGAAATATATGTCATTCTCCCCTAAAAGGGGTCTGGTATTTAATGCATAAAGACTGATGTAGTTTCACAACCCTACACCTATTTTCTGTTCCTAATAAATAATAGTAAGCAGTTTAGCACTAGGAAGAGCATTAAAAATATAGAAATTCTACTATTTCAACAGCAATTTTCATTTTTTATTTTTTAATCTCTGTTAAATTCCTTCAGACTTTAGATATGTTTCTTAGATATTTCTGGGTTTTGTCACCAATTTTTCCTCAGATTCTATTCTATGATCTCTTCTTGTAACTATCCCTAGTTTTTTTTTTAACTTATCCATTCAACAAATACTTACCAAAAGCCCACTATAGTATGTCTAGAGCACTGATCTGAACACTGAGAAAGATGAATGGGAAATCTCTACTCTTAAGGATTTAATAATTCAGTCAGTGTTGACATCATTCAAACATCTTTAATGATCTCCTTAACATATACAAACAAAATCACTACTCTCTAAATATCAAGATAAAAGAGATGTGTTTCTGCTGCAAACACCAAAATTTTAGTGCTTACTACAATGAGCATGTATTAGCACAACCTGATGCAGATTTTGTGGCCTTTCTGAGCTGATATTTTCAAGTGGGGACTCAGAATCTCTGGTTTCCTCCAGGTTAACAGCTCTGCCATCTCACAGCCTCCCACTTACTGCCAGAGATGCAATGTCTCTCTTACTCCTTCCAGAATCCAACTAGGATGCTGCAGTCATTACTTCTTTCATATGCTATTAGTGAAAATTAGTCCCTCCACCTCACCTAGATGTACAATATGTTGGAAATAGTGAGGAAGGTGTGAATTTGGGGTGAATACTAACATTTTATGATACAGTTTTCTAGCGGAAATATAAACAACACATAGACTGTCATATTTCTTCATATTTTGCAATATAGTTAATTATTAATTTCCAAATGCAAACTAATATCTAGTATAGTATCTGATACACTTAATAATTTTTGTGAATTTAATTGGATAGGGAAAAAGGTGATGTGTAGTAGTTTTGTGATCAAAGATATACAAGTAGGCAAGGCAAAGACCATGTGAGAATCATCAGTGATGTAGGAAATCTGTAGTAACAGAACTTTGACAAGTTTCAGTAAAGGAAGTATAAAGTGAACATCTGCTATATGTAATATTTAGAGTAAAAGTAGTAACACAGAGATTACAGAAGGCAGTACTGGCTCTGGCTCCTCTCCTTGAGCCCATTCTGATGAGTCTTCAGCCCTTAATCCTGTCTCAGAATCAAGTCAACAGAGAACTGCAAAGAAAGTACAAGGAATGCAGCACTGATCACTTCTTCCTAATGCAAAACTCTTCCCAAAAATTTGGCAAAATAAACCTGCATAGGGGTCATAAAGGCCATTGTCCTGAGCTCTAGAAGATAGAGCAGAAGTTAGCAACAGAAAGAGGGACTCTCTCAGGCTCCTTGATGAAAATTAAAGCCCACTGGAAAAGTGAAGAGAATCTCTGCAATAAAGGCAAACCAGACACCATAGTTGGTAAGTTGGAGGGATCAGCACCTCCTATTAGAACCTGGACTATCCTCAGGGGAAGGGCAGCTAGGTCCTGTAGTAGAACCTTATAGAGCTCCACCCTACAGGAGGTCAGGGACCTCAACCTGGGCCTTGCAGCCAGAAATCAGCCTGAATTTCAGGAGTCTGCTTCTGGCTTGCTGAGACTAGTTGATGTAAAGCTACACACTGCTACCCACATTGTCTATT